CCTGGCGGCCGTTCCCGGGCTCCGCCGCCGACCCGGGGAGGGGGATTCGACGCCCTGGCGTTAACTCGAGCGCGGCAACTTGGGGTGGTTTAAAGGCCGGGGTGAGGCGGTGCGGTGGCGCGGCGCCGTTTGCAGCCTGTCGTTGGAGTCAGCAACTTAACAAAAGCTCGCGACGAGGAGCAGGTGGGCTGCTGATGCGTGGAGGCTTCTGAAGGTGTGGGGTGCCGCGGCGGGGCTGCGAAAGTTGTCCTGACGGTTGTTTAAAATGCATCTCATCCAGTGCTCCGAGTCACAGACAGTTGTTAAATGGTTACTTATTATGCCTTTAATTTTTAAGGATCTGTGAGCTCTGGGAAGCTCGGTTATTTGGAAGTAGTGCTTTTTCTCTAGCCTGTGTTGGTGATCTCTGAGGAAACAGTAAAGGATTAAGTTTGTTTTCATAAACCTTGTCAACTGTGTCTTGTCTCTATCTGTTATTTGCTTTCGCATCTTCGTATCTATTTTTATACAACTTTTGCATGCTCTAGATGCACACTTTGCAGATGGTGGTTTTTATAGGCACTGCTGAGGGCTGGGTGTCTGCATGAAAATACTTGCTGAGGAGTTCGTTGTCCTGGATAGAGAGTGGTGCCCCTTGGGAAGGAAGGTATGGATAGGGTTGTATTCTAACCAGATTATTGTGGGACCAGTCTCCCAAGCAGTGTTCGTGCAGTACTGCTTGCATCCCGAAGAAAACTGCCCAGGGAGAAGCAGAAGCATAGAAGCTAGTGAGCTGTAGCCAGGGTATCTCATCTGGCCTGAACTGATAAGAATTTATCCTAATTTAGCTCCAGTAATTGAGTTTATTTCTGTATCAGCACTGCGGAAGGGTTCAGTTCAGTAGTGGGTGAAGTTTGGTGCTGAAAATGGAAAAAGATTACACAAGTCAACTGCTGCTGCTTTGTAGGACACTTGGAACAAGGTCACACAAAGAATTTTAAGATGATTGGTTAATATCTTCAGTGGCATTTTTAAAATAATTTATCGTCTGTTTGTATTATAAAGTAAGTAACAACTCCATAGCCGTGGTAAGGTTTTTTTCCAAGTGGAAAATAAAAGAAATACACTAAAAAGACTTTTCTTGTTATCTCAAGTCTGAATTATCTGGTTCTAGCAGATCAGAAGAAAATACTCTGTGATATGAAACACATATTGTGTACCTTCTGATGTTTGTGTTGCTTTTTTTTTTTCCTCGTCTCAAGTTCTAGGATAATGGTGAAGTTAGGGGTGATCTTGTCTAATATGATATATGATTGCATTATCTACATATCGTATATGATCATATTTACGGTCCTGTGTGTGGTAGGACCACGCTTCTTTCAAGACCCTTTGCATGTGCTTGGAGCTCAGTGTAGCGAGCATTGTTCTGCCGTTCAGATGGAGAGCTGTAAGGAGGTGAGCGCCTTGCCGTAGGGTTTAAGTCGCCCTGGGAAAGGCTTACCCCCGAGCAATCTAAAGCTCTCCAAACCCCACCCGTCTAAGGTGGGGCTTAGAAAAGGTCTCGTTTTGTGTGGACGTACGTGAAATCCGGCTAGAGGCAAACGTCTGCATCCCCGCGTGGGGGGAGGCCCCCTGAGCCGTGTCCGCGGAGGGGCGCGGGGCGGGGAGAGGAGGGAAGGGAGGAGATGACCTCCGCAAACACCGAGGGTTGCCAGCCTTACTCGGCCTTAGCTGAGTAAGAGGTGGGAACGGTGCCCATCGGAAAAAGGATCCCGAAGAGATCTGTGCGTGGGTATCGAGTGGAAGAGCCTCTGGCCGTTTGCTTCCCGAGCGCGGCTGGGCAGCCGGGGCCGTGCCTGTAATCACGCGTGTCCTCTCTTAGGGTGACGCGCGTGCTCTGCGGAACTGTGTTGCTGCGTAGGGATGTGGCCCACCTTAAATTAGTTACCGTGTAACGATCGGGGTTTTCTTCACCAGAAGAGTGTGGCCTGAGTCTGGTTTTTGGTATTTATAAGTTTTCTTAGGCCTTTGTTGTCAGTGAGGGCATTTGTTGTTATTAATCTCTTAATCAGGCATTGAGACTTTAAGGTACTAAAGCTCACAGCTGTCCTCATGAAATAATGTTTCATGATTTTCTTCCTCTAATTAGGGTTCTTCAACCTTTGTTACCAAAGTGGGTGCCATCCAGCATTACAGGTAATGGTAAAGAAAAAGAAATAGTGAGATTATAAGGTCTGACCTGTCATGTCACTTCAACTGTTGACTAGTAGCACAATGAAGTCAGTACTCCAGATGTCAGTACTGTGCATTCACATCGGAATTATTCTAAGCCCCTTACAATAGAGGTTTGGCCAAGGATTTGATGGTTCTTTAACCTGAGTTCTATGAGACAGATAGATGGACGCTTGAAAGGACATTACAGCAAGCTGTCCCCTGGACTGCACATAGGGTACAGGCAGTCTGCCTTCTGTGGCACAACAGCTGCATTAAAAAACAAACCAAAACAAAATAAAATGTAATTTATTTGGATTTATGAAATCAAGACCATGGTAGTTGTTTGCAGACCTTCAGGGTTAATGTTGATATTTGTTAAACTTAGAAAGATTTCCTACCTATGCCATGTTGAGGTGTAGAATTAGAGCCTTGCTTGATCCTGATGATGTGGTATGTTTATAAAACTGTTTTAGTGTTCTGGCCAAATGCAGGACACAGCCTATCTCCTTTTGATCATATGTTCAACATTACCAAATGTTTGCTGTTGACTTGATAATTTTGCAGTTTGGATAAGAGAACAAAAAACTCTAATGCTTATTTTTGTTGGTTTTATTTTTTTATGGAAAGGGATGAGACTGCAAAACTGACTTCAAAAGTGGTTACAACTATTTTTGTAGCTACTGTATTTTTTAAAATTCTGGGGTTTTAGTATAAAATGCAACTTATTGAACCTATCTGTCTTGAAAAAAAATGTGAAGCGTGCATTCTCAATTAATACCTGTATGAAATTGGATTTTTCATTTCTCTTTTGCCAAACTTTTAAACGCTTGTAGCCCTGTGGGAAACCATAGACTTAGGTTCTCTTCTTGGTTTCTGTATTGGAGAAGGAAGAACAGTGTGAATGGGTCCTCTCCTACCTTTCAACTTCCAAGGTAGCAGACTTTAGAGGTAGATTGTAACTTGGAAACACTTGCATTTTTCTGGTGTATGACCTTGAAGCCGTGAAGGGGGTTAGTAGCAGCTTTGAAGAAGTGTTGGGAGGAGTCAGGTTTAGTAACAAGGAAACCATAACATTTGTAAGGCAGAGCTTCCAAAACTAGGAAGAGGGTGGGAATGGCTGCAATTTGTTTGTGTTTACCTTCTGCTACAGTTGTTCAATAACTGCAGAGCTGTACTTGAAAAATACCTATTTATGTAGAACAGCAGGTAAGCAAGTTATTTTGTACTGAGGCTGTAAATAGACTATAATGTTGTGAATTTCAATGTGCCATTTTATGCTAGAGAGAGTAAACACCAGAATCTTAGCATTCTTTTCTACTCTAAGCTTTTTTGAATGTGGTGCCATCATTCCTTCTGCCAAGTTCTCAATGAAATTGCCTGACCTTCTGATTCCATTTGGAGCTTTGCAACTGATGGTAGCTTTCAAGTTAGCAATAGGAAATGAAATGCTTCCTGAAGGTGAAAGAAGATGGACTGTAGGAGAGAGAAAGACAGTTTAAAGATGGGCACTTCTATCTTGGCATCATACTTGAGCTTCTTTCTCTACTGAGTTACATGGGAAATGCATTCTTTTTTTCAAGGCTCAGACCAGTTAATGGAAATGGTGAAAGAGAACTTGAAGAACTGTTTGGGGTTTCTGCTTCAGCCCTCCCCAGAAGCCCTTTTTTGTTGTTGTTTCTGTCCTTAGTCACGTTTAGGGTAGCTGAGTTCACTCTGTGTGTGTATGTGTCTGCATGGAGTTGCAGTAGTTTTGCTCTACAGCAGGGTAAACACTACAGATCTCATCACAGAGGCTTAACTTGCAGGGTTGCAAGTTTCTACATAATTTTTCTCATTCATGAAACATGCATTTTAAAACAATATTTATTTATTAATCTATATAAGATTAAATGTGGCAGCATTTTACTTGATTTTACCTGTATACCATTTGAATGCTAGAGATTCCCCTTTACTTACTGCTTTGATTTTCAAGATTAAGAAACCATATCTTTCATGTTAACTATGTTGTGTTCAGTGTAAATTGGCAAGACTGATGCTTATCCACTTACAAATTGTGACATTGATGCTACATGATTAAATAGAGACAATTTGTAGTTCATGGGTGTGGATACAGTGGTGGTTGTCTGGATTATAAGGTGCTGAAAGCCCTTCTCAAAATTTTCATGTGTTAACCATTTTTGGTTTCAGTTTGTAGTCCTGTTTCATTATTGTTGGGTTTCTTGTTCGTGTTTTCTGTTTTAGTCTTTAAACTTTTTGTTAGATTAGGTTTTCTCTAAGGTATGTCACAAAAAAATTCTCTTAAGATCAAAGTAAATATGCAAAATTTAAATCACTCAAACCAAAGTATCTTGGAAATGTTGAATACTTTAATACTACCATAGTTATAGATTAAATTCTATATTGCAGTTACACTAGCAATTTACAGAAATAAAAAGTGATTATACCACCTGTTTTATAGACAACAGCTAGATGCAGAGGCAATGTGATCTGCAGCCTCAGACAGCATGGGTCTCATAGTTTCCTAGTTACCTCCTTCTCCAGTTAGGTGAAGGTTAGCAGGCTTTGTGCAGCATGTATGGATCAAGGATTGCCAGCACATGATGAACCTGATGACCGGGGTGTAGCATTGGGTGAAGATTTAAGGGATTTTGTAAGGACTTTTGAGCACTCTTGAACTGAAAGAGGAATCAAAATAAGCAAATAATAATCAAAATATTCAAAAATATATTATTAAAACCAGTGTAGTAACACAGTTCCATTAACAAATTAAGCCTGTGTATAAACAAAAGATTGACTCGGACTAGTATCCCCTCCAAGCGCCTGATGATCGATCAACATTAGTTAGTAATAGAAACAGGCTTAATGAGCCACTTGATAACAGGTTTGTGTGAACAGGAGAGTTAAATTGGTGAGTAAGTTGTTCTACTGACTTTCTGTTTTTATCACTGAGAAAGGTGTCTGAAAATCTTGCACTTTTCCATCAGTTGATTAGTTTGAGGTTGACATAAATTGAATAGGCAGGGTTATTTTTGAAATTAAATTCCTCTGAAGTGCTGTTAAACAATTACTTTATTACATATATATGTCTTTTCTTTTTCTTTCTTTTTTTTTTTTTTTTTTTACAGCTCTGTTAATAAACAGATAAAATAACACTTCAGAAACAGAATGTGGCTTACCTTTTGCCTGAAAAGGTGAAATCTTTTCAAACAGAAATGGCTGATAAAGGTGGGAAGATCATTCCAGGACAATTGTACATTGAAGTGGAGTATGACTATGAGTATGAGGCCAAGGACAAGAAGATTGTGATTAAGCAAGGGGAGAAATACATCTTGGTGAAAAAGACTAATGATGACTGGTGGCAAGTCAAAAGAGATGAAAATTCCAAACCCTTTTATGTGCCAGCACAGTATGTGAAGGAAATACCACGAAAAGCGCTGATGCCACCTGTCAAGCCTGCAAGCATGCTGCCAAATAATGCTTTGAAGTTGACACATGGATTACAGAGATCAACTGAAAATGTGAATAAGTCACCAGAGCTTTCTAGTTTTGGAAAATCTTCTCCAGTTCAAGTGTCTTGCTTAGTTCGAGATGCTAATCAAAATCTGGGACTGAACAATAGCCCCGGTCAAACTCTAGGTTTGAGTCTGGACCTTACCCAAAACAATGGCAAGCTTAACAATGAGTTGCAATCTCCCAAGGTTTCCAATCAGTATAGAACCATCTCCATGGGTCATTTCCCATGTCCCGAGTTCTTGGAAATAGAGAAGACCAGCTTTTTGCATGAACAATCTTGTGATTCAGCAGGAGAAGGCTCAGAAAAAATTCACCAAGATTCGGAGTCTGGAGATGAACTCAGTAGTAGCTCCACAGAACAAGTGCAGGTAGGCTAGAAAAAATCATCCCTGTAGATTTGTTTGTGTTGGATTTTTGTTTACTTATTGCCATAGTTGCTTGCTACTGTTTTGAGACTTATTCCTAATAAATTCAGATTGTTGAAGTAAAAATGTCTTATCTTAGCATGAACTGGTTATTGAAGACTAAACAGTTGATGTCTATAGCTCTATTTCTTGCAGAAATACTTTGCTTAGGGGATTAATTCCATTTATGTTATCCTGTGACTGAATGTTACAGAAACACTTCTGTTCCTTCTTCATTAAGATTGTTTTGAGATGACACTGAATTTGGGTTATATTTTCTTCCAGATGAAGAGAGCTTACTGCAGTAACTCTTCACTTCTTGGCTTGTTGAAATAATAGCGCTAGTTACTGCCATCTTTCCCTAAGTACGTGTATAGATAGTGGAAGAGTTGTCAACAGATATATTAATGGGTTTAATAGCTAAAAAATGGTACACTTAAGATTTATATGTTTAATTTCTGGCTTGATTCTTTTATTTGTAGACTCTCCTTGTAATGAGTCAGCCTTGCCAATTCTGCTTTTTACAACTGTATTAAAACTCAAAGCATGTGAGTTTGTTAATTAGTATGGAAGAATCTCAGGAATGATGTACTCCCACTTCAGGCTAAAACTGAGCATTGATGGCTGCCTTAGTAAAGTGGTTTCTCTCACTTTTTTTTTTTTTTTTTTTTTTTTTTTTTTTTTTTTTTTAACAGGCCTCCCCCAACAAAAGATTAGCACTCTGATTTAGATAATCAGGTCACTTCTGGTGCGGATAACCAAGTTAATTAGTCTATTGTCATCTAGCTTTTTTTCCTTGAACCAATGATGTATGTGTACCTACACATAATTATGTATGTGTGTATATAGATAATTCCAACACATAACACCCTTCCCCCCATTCTGTAGGGAGATGTTAAATTATTTCAAAATTCTAAGGTTAAAAGCTCTCTAGCCTTGAACTTTCTTACTCTGTAATGTTAACCTGTTATTGTTTGGGTACAAATTGATCATTGTAGTAAACACCACTTGCCAGCATGTATTCAGAGTACTAAAGGAGCTCACTCGAGTGTGGTAATCAAATAAAAGTTGATGCTAACTTTAGAAATAAAAATCTTATCATGGAGTGAATCAGTACTTTGCTAATAAGACAGAATTAAGACAAAGCTGCTTAGTTAATGAGTGAATGTAGGAAGATCTTAAAGATACAAGATTGGGTGATTTAGACGAACTCTGAACTCTAATATATATTTATTGAAATACTTGGAATCAGTAGTTTTTTAATATCCTACTATGTTTTTGACCTCACTCTTGAAATTTAAAATTTTTCTAGTTATGGGACTTAATGCCTTTAATATTTGTATCTTTAATAACAATTTTATTTTAACTCCTCCCCCAATAATAAGGAATAAATTACTGAATTTATTTTTGAGTAATTTCTCACTTATGCAGTGTGAATATTGATCAGTTTTCTTGCACTTTCTTTGCAGAGTGTCCTAGCTCACTGTAGCTGATATGAGTCATTTAGAACTTCGAAGGCTAAAATAACTATTAGATATTTATTTTAGAAGTGTGTATAGTAGCCCATCTACTGCCGTACTAATTGATTGCCACACAAATGATAAAAATACTAAGGAATGCTTAGAAACTGTATTCTACTTCTAATAGTTTATCACAGTAAAGTTTATATTGTATGTTAAGATAGTTCTTTCTACTGTGTTGACTATAGCGTGATGCATCTCCATCTCTAAAGTAGGTGAAATTCATGTTACATGGGTACCTTTTTGTCAAATAAGCTGCTCAGTTTCCACCGGGCCCTGTGACTGCTGATGCAGAGACACTTAGTCTTTCAACCTTTGTCATCCCCTTACCCCCCCCCCCCCCCCCAAAAAAAAAAAAAA